GTGCAGCCCACCAGTTGCATTGGCAGTTGAAGATTATTTTCTCCACGCTGTTGCCCCGTGCTTCTTTCAAACCCTTTTGAGACACCTGTGCTTCCCGCACCACCAGGCTCCCCACGGCTCCCAGTCCCATGCACGTCTGCCCTCCAGAGCGTCCTGACACCCGCAGGTTGAGGGGGGGAATCGGCGTGACGCCCCACCTGCACGCGTGTCGGGGACAGCGTCTGTCTGTTGTGCTCCTCCGCGGAGCCGTACGGGGAGCAAGGAAGAGCCCGTCGGAGGCAGGGAGCCGGCGTCCGAGGCTGTGCCACAGCAGCCTGCCTCCCTCTGCCGTCTCCTCTCCCTTCGGAGAGGCCGGCGTGGCTGGGGACGGGAGCTGGGACCTTTCCCAGCGGCCCAAGCCTGCGGTTAGCTGGCAAGGACGGAGCGGGAGTGCGGGCAGCCACCCCGTCTCGTTTGTGCTGCAGGAAGGAGCACCCGGGGGAATCTGAATGAGGCTGAGAATAAAGGGAGAGAGAGCATGTGTGGAAAGGATTTGGAGGGGAGCAGAGTTAGTGCTCATGCCCCGAGCTGAGAAGTTGCTGAAGACGTGGGACAAGTAAGGAGAGAGTGGCAGAAGTGAAGAGCAATGCTGGGAAGCTGGGTGCCCGCAGGGCGGTTCCTTTGCTCCGATCAGCTTGTTGGGGAATCTGCGTGATTTTAATATACGTTTTTCTAGCTGGTGTTTGTAACAATTCCCTGGGGTTTGGTGATGAAACAGCTTTTCCTTCTAATTTCTTTCCTCAAACAAGCATGCACAGCTGCTTAATGTGCAGCTGGTTGAAAGACCACATGTGTGGCTACGCAGGTCACACCAAGTCCCAGCACAGGTAGGTTATCATGGTCTTGTGAACGCGTGGTGTGGTTTGTTGAGGAAGACTGCAATATTAACTATTGACAGATGTGTTTATTAATATCCTTTGGCTTTATTATGTCTGTTAGCTGACATGTACCTGGCTTAAATATCATTCAGTCTGAAAGCAACATCCTTTTTTCCTTTAATAGCCTACATAAACAGAAAACGTAGGTGTGGTGGTGTCATACTTTGACCCACTCTGCTGGGACGGCATCCCAGCTGGGGTGGAAGCAGGGTCGCAGGGAAGCAGTGTGGCATCTTGCTTTTCTCTCCGAGGCTCTTGGCATGTGTTCCTGGACCATGAGCCGTCTTGGCTGGCCGCAGCGGGACAAGCACTCTCTAAGCATCACAAGCCAGATGAAATGATAAGGTGGGGGACGGGGCAGACAACACCAACCAACAGAATGTGATGGTGAGGAATGAGAAAGGGCAGACCTAGTTTGCAGGTGCTGGAGGCCTGATGGCTAAAGTACATATGAGCACTTAAGTGTGCTTTCCCTCGGTTGCTAATATTGCTTGCAAGTGACAGGGGAAAGGGACAGGCTGCGCACTGTGCATGTGAATACATATGTCCCACGCGTGGCTGATTTTGCCCTTTGTAAGGTGTTTTTAGTGAACTCATTCTGCAAGAACGTTCTTCCCTCTGCAGCCTGTGTGATAATCACAGCCAGCTGGTAGAAACTGTGGGTTGGTTTGTTTTTTCCCTTCACATCCCCTCCCTTTCATTACTAGAAATGAAAGGAGGTGAAGGCAGAGACGAGGCTGTGCATTGCGCTGTGCTCTTGTTCTAGCCCCACTGGCAGCATCCCGACTCGGGTGATGGATGAGCTTGTTGCGTGAGATCCTCCACTGAGGCTTCAGCATCTCTAATGAGGTGGCCAGCGTTTCACTGTCCTCTGCGCCTGCCTCTGCTGTATTAACTGCACCGCAGCAACAAGCTGGAGCACTGGGCCAGCGTGACCAGAAGGAGGAAGGAGGCTGAGGAGGGGGTGGAGGGAGGAAGATACCAGGGTAGCATGGGAGAAGAGCACGCATGGATCAGGAGAACGAGGCCAGCAGCGGGCGATTGAAGTGGAGAATTAAAAAATGGGTTCCTGCTGGACTGATGCATGCAGCTCCACACAGACCAGCTGCTGGCAATCAGAGAGGCAAAGGATGTTTAGGGATGGCGGGGAGAGCCAGACCTTGGCCTTAATGTCTCTGTCTGCTGGACCTGTGCTAGTGACTGCGAGCCGGCACCTGCTCTGTGCACACCGAGCGATCGGCTGGCTGGAGCGCTCCCCTTTTCCTCCCTTGCACTGATTTCATGCCCTGTAAACGCTGCTGGCAGCACTTTCTCCTGACGGCTGCAGCTAGCCAGCCCAGGGGAGATGTTTGGCCTGTGCTGCTTTTCACCCAGAAGAGCCAGTCTTTCCAAAGGCATCCCGGGCCAGCTCTGTTGGGATGCCAGGACCGCAGTAAGGATGTGCAGAGGGCAGCCTCGCTGGCAGCCAGTTGCTGTGTTTGTCCAAATTGCAGGTTGGGACGGAGGACACAGGCTGAGAGAAGATTTGGGCTGAAAGTATTTGGTGGAGGGAAAAGACCCTCCCAAAACTTTTCCCCTATGCTCCAAGAGGAGGTACGTGCTGAGCGCTGGCTGTGCCTCTCCCTTCACCTAGTGATCCAGGTCTCTCCTGGGAAGCAGGACAGTTGCGACCTGTTGGGGCCATATGTGCCTTTATTAATTTCCATTTCACAGCCAAACCTGGGCAGCAGCCAGGTATTTATTTGGTTAAACCCACGTGCCCCTGAGGATAGACTCAACTAGAGCTTTGCAGTCCAGACTGGAGGCTGATTTCTCAGTTTGTCCTGGATTAGGTGATGTGGGAGAGTACGTGATTTGACATTGCTCCCACAGACTTTAGATACCCAAATTCCACCTAAGTCCCAGCTGAGGTGGAATTTGCACTGTCTGAATCTCACCTTCCGGCTTCTCTCCGACTCCCCATTTTGTTTCTCTTCTAAAGGTTATATCTAGACGAGGGAAATGGCTCCTGACCTCCTCCTATTTGCTGGCCACCTTCCCAGTGCCCCAGCTCATGGCAGTCTGTGGGGAGGAGATGCCACCAGCCCCCCCAGTAAGGCTCCCCAGAAAGCCCCATGCCAGGAGCTGTACTGCTCCAGCCTCCTGCTTCTGGCTTGTGACCCCTCCTCTCCTGCCAGGTAATTGGGGTTCTGGTGCTAACGACCCCAGGTGAGATCGCTGCTGCTGGGAGCCGGCTCTGCTCTTGCTCGGCAGAGCGGCAGTGCGGAGGGCAGGCAGATGGGAGGGCTGAGCGGTGGGCATGCCAGCTGGATCAGCACCCAGCCGGTGTGCCCCACGCCAGGTGGGGCGTTGTTGGTACGGATGGATCCCAGCAGCATCCCGATGCCAAGTTCGTGCTTGGTTCCCAGAGGCACTGCCCTGGTCCTGCCCTCCGGGACTGCTCCCAGGTGCCTCGCAGGAAGGCACCAAGCTGGAGGAAGGCGCTGGAGAAGTTCCAGGCCCTCTGACCCATCTTGCCCAGGAGAGGAGGGTGCAGAAAGCAGTTCCTCGAGCAGCTTGCACCCTGATCTGTTTAGGTACAAAGGCAGGTACAAAGTTGTTGTTTGCTGAGAGAACCACATGCAGCCACAGGTTCCCAGGGGCCAGTCCCTGCCCCGACACAGTACCACGGCAGGATCTGGTCCAGCCCTGTCCCTTCCCTTCTGAGCACTGACCAAACCGTGGGAGATAACTGAGGTGAGGAGGTGGGTCATTGGGTCCTGGCCATGCTGGAAATGAACAGAGCTCTGGCACGGCAAGCTCTCCAGTGGCAGCCATTGCTTCTGAGCTTGAACTTACAGTTATGTACATTAGGGCCGGAGGCAGGCAGAGGAGGGATTGCATGTGCTTGTTTTTACCAAGCGCCATATCTGCATTGCTCCCCTGCCCTGCCTTGCTGGTGGCCTTTGCTCCTGTCGTGTCCTCACTCGATTTTATTGCCCCACACTTCCCACACTGACAGATTTGCTGTAAACCTTCCTCCCTGCATCCCTGTTCCAATAATCCTGTAAGTTCGGAGTTGATGATGAACACTGAGCCTGCCTATCATCAGGAGAATTGCCTTTGCGATGAAACCTGTCAACCTAGAGGAGGTATCAGAGGCAGGGGAAAGCTGTCTGGGACAGTGAACACTGGGCCATGGAAAACCCTGCCAAAGGTCTTTTTACCAGGACCAGCATCCCCAATAACATATCTTGCCACAAGCATTCAGGCACTGCACAGCAAGAGGCAGGAAACTGTATCTTCACAACGCAATCCTTGTTCTTGTCCTTCCCCTGCCAAGCAAGCATGACTGTGGCAGGGAAGTTTCACTGACACATAATTCATCATTTTTAGTGGTGGTGATTTTGACAACAACATTTTTCCCGTTGTTTTCTTGAAACTTCCCTGCTTTGCCTTAGCAAACTGAACGATGTTCAGCTGGTATGGTTCAGCTAGCATGGTTGAGCTCCATCCTCAGTGGGCATCAGAGAAAGAGGGAGCCTATGAGTGACTCCAGAGGACCACTGACTTGAACTAGACCCTTGCTCTGGTCTGTGGAGCCTAGTGTGGGCTAGGATTCAAGGGCAGATCCTGTGGAAGGATGCTGAGGAAGCATGGCCGTAGGCAGGTCCCAGCAAGGCACCAAATTAAATGCCACAGGGCCCAGGCAGCAAATGAATGAGTTCTGCAGCAGTGTTTGTGAACTGAAGGGTATCCTGGCAAAAAGCCATGCTGTGTGTGCACAGGACCGTGGATGGTCACACACACTAATGGAGGTGAGTTGGGTTTATTCCTCCCCTCTTGCAGACATTAGTTCCAACACAGAGTTGCTCCAGGACCTGTAGTTCAAGTTGTCCCCCCAGTCAGGAGGACCCCAAGGCTTCAGGGAGAGACCAGGCTCTTGGTCACTGTTCTGCACCTGTGGAATTTTCAAACCAATTCTGCATGAGGATCTCATTGAGAAACCAGGTGTACTTGTCTGTGTATGAAGGGCAGGAATAGGATCCGTCAGGTTTCCAGTTTCATGGTTTTCATAACACTGGGGGTTCTTTTTCTATGCAGCTGGCTCAGAGAAACACCATCCAAACCTTCATTCCTGTGCAGAAAATGGAGAAGGGCCTGCTGCTGGAGCACATCTTGCCCAACCTGAAAGTGCCTCAGAGCTATGAAGTTCGCCTGACGCCCATCACCAGCTTTGGGGCTGGAGATATGGCTGCCCGCATCATCCGGTACATGGAACGTAGGTGTCTCCTCCTCGGTCCTGGCTACGAGAGCAGGTCCGAGCCTCAGGCCTAGGGACATGGGCATGCATAGATGTTGTCTTCTGTGACGCTTAGGTGGACCTCTCTGCTCTGCAGAGTTTTGATGGCATAGTGCTGTCACATTTGGCTGTATTTTGGCTGTTGCCACCAATGCGGAGCACTAGACAGAGACCTCTGAGGGCCAGCCTCCACTCATCCTTCACTTAGCAGCTCTGACTCGCAGTCTCCATTCTGTGGGCAGGAGAGCCCCGAAACCCCAGTCCCCCGTCAGGCCGTGCTGCAGCTTCCTGTGGTACAGTGGCGTATTTTAGAGGACAGACACTGAACATTGTGTATTAGCCACGTGCCCGTAACAGTAAGAGGGTTTCAAGGGGCTTCAGTTCTTTCCAGAGCTGAACGCACAGTTCTTTTCCCAACTAGTCACTAGTAAACTTGTACCTCTGTCCAATATCCTGAATCCCAGGTCATCCCACTGACATACATTGACCATGTTTCTCTCCCCAGCATCCCAACAGCTCACAACTCTCCCCATTCCTGCAACCCTATGATTTCTTTACTCCCCTCAGGAGTTTGAACCCTGTATTTCAGCAGAAAGTACAGATCGACCTCCTCCTGTGTTTGCATGGTTTCACAAAGCCCTCTTTTATCCCGTGGAGTGACAACATGTCTGGTGTCCCCAGCATAGCTGTTGTCTCAAACTTCCACAGTGTCTCAAAGTGTTTTGATGTCCCAGTGGGTGCTCCAGAAAGAAGCTGCTTGTGTTGCCAGAAGGGTTCCCCTGTGCAATCCTGGGATCACCCTTTAGGTGGGGTTTTCTTAAAGTCTGCTGCTGCTTGGGTCAGAGAGTCAGCATCTTGTTCCATCACCAAGGCAGACATGGAGCTCTGCTGTTTCACAGGGGTACTGCTAGGAGATTTGTGCATCTGTGACCTTTCTTGATGTGTTTGTTTTATTTTCAGATTTTGATTGTGATTTGCGATTTGAGGGAGTACTAGCTGTTCTGACTTGTTTTTCTATTTCCTCTTCCAGCAATCAACTATCCCAACCCAACAGGTAAGGAACAAGACCTCTGTATTTATGATTTGAATGTAATGCATGTTAGTCAAATGGTCCAGCAGATCAGGCAAGCCAAACAGCTGGAATACACAGCTGACTTTTTGCCAAATCTTTTCGCCCAAAAGAGGATGAAATTGCATACACTAATACTTCCCGTAAGTAACACCATTTGTCATACCTTGAGTTATTGCCAGGAGATATACACCAGAGATATGCCTCCCACTCACCCCTGATATCTCTGTGACTAGATAAGCTGTGATCTTGAAGCCACCCTCCCCCTAACATTAGCAATCTGCATCCAGTAAGCAGATTATTAAATGCTCCGCAAAATACCTGTGTTTAAGGAATGTATATCCCCTATCCTCTTCTGACCAAGAAAGACACCACTTGACATCCCTGCAGGCTGGTATGGAGCAGTCTCTGTTCCTCTTGCAAACTCCTTGAGCACAGTCCCTCTTCTCCCCCTTCCCTGCCAAGACGCAGGCCCATCTTTAGTAAGCACCCAGAGTTCCCATTGATGTTGAGAGGAGAATACAAAACATCTCAGAACGATGGTCTTTCTTTAACAAGAACACGATGGTGCCCATCGAACATAAAAGAGGATTTCTAGCATGCTATAAGTGGTGCAGTCATCTTCAGGGGTTGAAACAAAGTCCCTTTGCTTCAATTGTTGGATAAAAGCCCAGGCAAAGCTCTTGGGCAGAGATGGGCAAACTACTTGCTGGTGGTCCATGCGGAGCAGGTGGTTCCATGTGGCTGTTTCTTTCTCCCTGTTTCCAGCTGCTTAGTCAGCATTCAGCCTTTTTATATATGACGCTGTGTATGTGTAGGCAAGTGCTACTGCTGCGCTGCAGGGTAGCAGTGGGAAGGAGAGGCCAGGTTAGGCAATGGCAGACAGGAATCAGGATATGGGGTTATCTTGTTAAGGCAGCCATGAGGAGTTTGCTCTTGCAAGTTCCCACTCTGAGGATGATTTGATGAGCCGTATTCTGCCTGAGACCCCGAGCTTCTCATGGAGTCAGAGGGATTTTGTGGCTCTAATTCCTTATTCCTTTCGCTTTGCTCTTCCCCGCTTTCTGATCCTCTTTAAACATTCTCCATAGAAGTCTCACTGCGAACACTGAGCATATTGCCAGGGACCCGTTCCAGAATGTGTCCCTTGGTACTCACTAGAGGAGGCAAGCATCCCAGCCCACAGGTGGAATTGACAAAATCTGGCCTTTTGCCACTTGCTTTTACACTACATAAATCACTGGTAAAGCCAGAGCAACTTCGGTCCTAGTTGTGTCAATCTCTCGGGGTCTTTGTAAGCTGAGCCTTCAGACTGCTCACCTGGGGTTGCTTTGGCAGCTTGACTGAGCCCAGAATGACTGCATGAAGTTTGCCTGTGGTGGAGGGTAACTCAGCCAAGCTTGTATGTTCTTGCAGGAAACCCAACACTTAGGTTTTCTCCTTGATACAAGTTATCCAGCCTGTGGTGGATATTGGGACCTCTGGGCCAGTCATCAGGGTCTTGCCCATGAGTGCACGCCTTGAGATGGACTGCCTAAAGTTGCACCCACCACACTTGCTTTCAGAGATGCCCCTTCCTTCCAGACCTGCTGCCAGTGAAATACAAGCCCAAAGGCTGTTAGCTCTGTCTCTGGGCCACAGCTCGGTTCCCAGGCTCTCATCCCAGCAACATGGTAATTCCTGCTACTACCTCTTATTTTCCCGCTCCCCCCTGCTACCACCACCCCCCGGGAAAAGAGCTGTAAAGGTATCCTCACACTAGGCTGCCCAGCCAAATTCTGGGAGCAAACATTGAGAGCTCTCCAGTGAAAGGCAAAGATTAGATGATTAATGCCTCTGGCAGCCTGATCCAAGGGCATGCACAGTGGTGATTAATTTACAAACTCTGAGAGTCACTTAATACAATTATTTCTTCATGCATTTTATCTCTCAGCCTAATAAGATGTTAATGACATTGGGGCAGGCATGCATGTGGCATGGTTACAGAGCCAGGTACTGGGGTTATAACGCAAAAGCAAAGTAAAAGCAGAGGAAGTGAACAAAAGACATTCAGGATTTCAAATATTTAGAAGTTAGCAGTGAGACTGACTCTAATGCTTAAAAATCAGTTAATCTGGTTCTAAAAACCATAATTTATCTTTAAAAAACTGTCTCAGAATTATCTTAATTCTAAGGTATTAGATCTCTTGGAATAACTGATCATTTTGATGTCACGACTAAATTCCAGTGCTGGGGAATCTGCTCTGTCCTTCTTACCTCTCCCCTGCAATTTCATTTTGATACAGCCCTCACTTTGTAACCCAAACCCTGCACTGCTGCCCTGCAAGCTGTTCCAGCTCATCAGCAGTGGATGGTTTGGCTTCCCTGGTTCTAGCAGATGTAGCTTTGCAACCTTGGTGATGAGGGCGTTAAGAAGCATATGGGATTGCTGGGGCTTTTTTCTCCTGGCCGGTGTGCCTTGCCCTTCCAGAGCAGCAACGCTATTTCTTATATATCTGCACTCTGACTGTGTGTGGTGCTAAAATGTTTTGGGATCATGGACAAGTGTGGTGGGTGGTGATCAGTACCAGATGCTGGTTGTTGTAGATTACCCTGGCTCATTGCTTACTGTCTACTGCTTGTGTGTACTGATAATGCCTCATAGTCCACAGGAATCTGAGCTTGTTGCCCCGTTATGAACATGTAGGAACGAGATGTGAGCCAGTGTTTAGAGTTGGATTCCTCAAATCTATGCCCATTCCTCAGGAGTGTGTGTAACACAAAGGTTAAAAAAGGTGACTGCCACCAATTCCTTGTATCGTGGTGGCAAATAGGATTGTCTGGGCCATATTATCCCCTTGTTGCAGATGGAGGTATTAAAGCAGATGGCAATCCAATATGACCCAACCAGTTACAGAACTGTGAAGATTTCTTCCATTACTGGTTATAAATGCTTTAGAAACTTACCATGGAAAAAGGCTGTTAAATGCTGTTTCTTGGATCCCAACACATTCTGAGGTTGCAATACAGTTTTCAACATCTTCATCTTCTAGATGGGGAAACTGATCTCCACAGAGAGAAAGTGATACCCTGTGGGTCATGCAGCAGGTCTGCAACAGAGATGAGGCTCAGAGCATGGTCCCTTATGCTCCAAGCCAGTTTCAGTCATCAGACCACAGCTAAATGACAAAGGCAATTTTATTCAAGAGTGCTCCATCTGCTATTCACCCATAGTCTGCAGCTAGAATAGGATTATTATTTTTTGCATTCATCTGGCAGCCAGAATTTCTGGACCAGGGATGGCTTCCCCCTAAGGACTTGGAATTAAAACCTCCATTATGTTTCTCAAGAAGGCAAAGCAACAAGAAATGCTAATAGCCACAACAGAGGGTCTCTCCCCTGGGAATGCAGGGAGGTGTCTGTAACCGGGAACAAACATCTCTGCACTTTGAGCTGCTGCCACAGCAAAACCTGCCAAGGAAATCTGTTTGGTGAAGACAGTGCTACCTCCAGCCTTTGAGGAACCAGCTCCCCTGCCACCTCCACCTCGCCTCTAACAATCCAGAGAACAACTCCTGTGTTCAATATTTAAATCTACTGTTCAATTTTTAAACAGGAAGCTTACTTTGCGCCGCAGTGCTGAGCCCGGATCCCTGGCAGATGGTGTGAGTCTGCAAGAAGGTTTGCTTCACACGGCCGAGGTCAACAGTTAGATCACCGCTGTGGCCTCTGAGACACAGCAGGTTATTTAAAGGTTTTCTTTTCAGCTGGATCTGCCAGGTTTCTCCTGGTGGGCCTTGCTGATAACCATCCAGAGGTGACACGCTGGCGATGTCCCAAACCACACCGAACATCTCCTAGTTATTCTGGGCACCTCCACTTCTAGCTTGGAGAAATGCCAGAGCTTTGCCTTCCTGTGGCTTGTTTTAAACCAAAGGATGGGGAACACAGAGCACTTGGGTTCTGTTTCCAGCTTTGGCACTGCCTGCCATGACCTTAAACCTGTGCCTCTAAATTTCATGCATCTGTTTCCCCACGTGTAATGCAGGAGATGTATAGAAAGAGGCATTGCTACCTCATCGAGATGTTAAAAAGCCTTGTTTATTAGTTGTTGCAAAGTTGCAGAGATCCCAGGCTAAGCAGAGGCAATGTGCTGTAGTCCTGCACAGCAAACGGTGTTGTGCATAAGCCTGATCATGTTGTGATATCTGTGGTGCATAGGACTTTTCTCTATTTTATGCTCTCTGCTAGAAGTGTTGCCTTGTGGAATTAGTTGCACCTGAGTGAGAAGACAGGATGGAGCCAGGCCCCTGTTTTGGCATTGAAAGAGCTCTTTTCAAGCTTTTGAGTCTTCTTTGAGCAGTTTCATCCCATGGGTGTGTGGGTCTTCTTACAAATGAGGCACAGTAGTCCATCACCTAGCATGACCAGGCATTGGTGCTAAGCTGGGAATACTGTCCTCAATCCTCTTTTCTTGCACAGCTTGCTCTGATTTCCACCTGAGCTTGGGCTTTTTCCTTTATCTGCCTCTCCTTTGGTTTCTGTGCCTCGTCCTTTGTGGACTTGCTCCCTCTCAATCAGTTGCCTGGCTGGCCTCTGCGTTACAACTTTTCACCTGATAATTCCCTGTTAAGGGAATTTTGTGCCGGAGAAAGTCCACATGCACAACAGGGTCAGAGGTGCAAACCATCCCGGTCCTTTGATTGCAAAAGAACAGTCATGGTGGATCCTGCTGTGTAGAATAATGCCATTATAAGAGAAAACTTTTGTCTTCTGACTGCAGCTGGCAACCTGTGAGCTGGAGCCACACAGATGTTTGTCTTCGGTCGGATGGAGAGAAGCCAGGGGCGTTAGACCAACCCAGCAATATCAGGAAGCTTGTGGGCTCCAGCCCTCTGAAGACCAGTGGGTGTCTGGTACAGCCATGAGCTCCCTTTCTTCAGCCGCGAGGGCTGGGGAAGGACCCTTAGAAGCTCCTTTCTCACCCTTTTCCCCCTCCATCTCCTTGTCCTGGGGATGAAAGAGGCCCTCTCCATCCCCATCCATGTAGTTGCCCTGCCTCAGACCCCCGCAGGCATCTGTCCCGACCTCTGCTCCCTGCTCCTCCCTCCTCCTCCAGCTCCAGCTGCCGTGTGGCCCGCTGTGCTCGGCACTGTGGAGCAGTGGCTAATTTGGATTAGGATGCTAATTAGAAATGAGCGGATTGAACGGAAAGCGCTTCGCCAGGGTTAATCAGCAGTTAAGTGGCCAGCCCAGCCGAGTTCCCGATGGCTGTGCTCAGCTCGCAGGAGCAGCGTTTCGCACTGAGCTTACAGAAAACCCAGCTGCCCTGGTCGGTGAGCCAAGCCCTTGACTTGCAGCACAGCGCCCAACCTCTGGTGGCGAAGACCTTTTTGTGGGACACATCAGGAGGCTGCCTCCTCTTTTCTCACTGCTTTGGTGGGATTCTAGGGAGAGACAGGCAAGAAGGGGGAACCCCTACAGGAGTGTGCAGGCTTTTGATGTCTGTTTGGATGATGGTCGTTTTCATTTCCAAGTGGGAGGGGATGGGGCATGCCTTAGCTGCAGGGTAGGAACTGGGAGGTGTAGCATCTCAGAGTCAAGATACTATTCATTTCATAGGCAGTCTCTCCTCTCTGGTACAAGATGGCAGATTTTGCTGTGCGTGGTAGGTGTGTGAAGCTCCTACCATCACAACCTACCATCTGGAGCTTTTGGCCCTGGCATTGCAGAAAGCTTCCTTGCCCATCCCGTCCTTGGCACCCAGCCCATAGGTTGCTGACACTGCTCTGCCCTACATGTCCTGCCAGAGTCACCCACACTAGGACAGAGAGTCTGCTGCCCAGGAACCAGAGCAAACCACCACTGAAGATACAGAAATGCAGGAGCCCAAGTAGGCATTTGGGCTTCTCTTCATCCAGACATGATAACAGGAACAGTGTGGGGGGTAAACCCCAAGAAGTTGAGTCTTGCACCAGCATGCCATGGATGAGGTTTCTAGCACATCCCAAGCCCTTAGCAAGAGCCTTATTTTCCTTTCTGTATGTGTTCTTTCATGTTTTTTAAGAACTTTATCTTTCAGTTTCATAGCACACGTCCTTGCTCTTACATAAAGGCAGAAGGTAAAGAGACTGTGTCTGCACTACTCGCGAGGTCTGAGATCCCACTCTCAGCCCATTCTCCAGCTCCAGTTTCTGCCCAGGGACCTTTCAGAACACAAAGCAATTTTCACATCGGGTCTTGGGCGTGCTTTCTCTTTCTCTTCTGCCTCTCTTCTCCCTCTCCTACCATGTCAGCAATGCAAAGTGGGTTCTTGGTCTTTGTATCTGTGGCTCAGGAACTACCATTTTACCACAAAGATTACCATCTTCAGCCTGGTCAAGTCCAATTCATTCCAATCTCTGCAAGTCCCTACTGGGTTATGTTTATGCACAACATTTTCCACCTGTCTTACAATATTGCTGTAGGGTGTGACTGTCCTGCGATAGCAATAAAACTGAACCCCTGTTGCACATGTAGCTGATCCTACATGAAAGTCTTTTACCTACATGACTTATTTTGTTAGGGGAACCAGCATAAGCTGCGATATCAAATGTACCTTTTAGCTGGTATAAATTTAATGTACTCTAGCTAAATGACACATTTGTAGCACTGAGATAACCTCTTCTCCACAGATGATTTTTTTCATGTGTGCCATAGTTTAGTTTAATATATAGCCCAAAGAGGGGGTCATCTGCTGATGCTTTTTTCTCTCTCCTGAGGGAATTATTCTACCATCAAGTTGTTCTGGTTTAAAAGCTCTTGTGGCCTGTTTGCCTGCAATGCTCTTTTTACTCTCCTCTATGTTTGCCCCCATCAGACCTCCCAGCAGAATCTCTCTTTCTCTTTAGCCCCAATAGCCACCTTCCATTTCGTCAGACCATCACATCCGTCAACCTGGATTAACTCTTCCATAATCATACTAATCACAGATATATTCCTTTTCAGCCTCCTCCTGAGGCTGGGGGCTTCCCATCTGTCGCCAGCTTGACGCAGAGCCTCGGTGGTGACGTAGCAGCACTGTGAGACTTGATGCGAGCATCCAAGCAGCCTTGGGGAGGAGGTTTGAAAAGCAGCAGCTGACCAGCCCCTTCCCTTCTCCACAGATAACACCTGCCGCTTTGAGGATGAGAAGATCTGTGGCTTCATGCAGGACAAGATGGACAACTTTGACTGGACCCGGCAGAACGCTCTGACCCAGAACCCCAAGCGCACTGTCAACACGGGGCCCCCCATGGACATCAGCGGTACACCGGAGGGTAGGCACACATCTGGGTTCCTCTCGGCTTGGCTGTGGAGGCGAGGCACACGCCATCGCTTGTCAGGAGCCCTACGGCTCTGGGAGCTGGCGGAGCGCTGATCTGCTTTCCACACAACACGCTTCTCCTCCGCACAGGGAGCAGGGAGCAAGCCGTTAATTTGCATGTTACTGATTGGCATTAAACACACAATTAAAACGCCCACGGCTTTGTTTAAGGGGATAGCGTGAGCATTAGTTCTTGTTACCAGCTAATTGCCCGCTGCCTAATGCCCTTGTCCCATTTGATGCTTGTTTTGAAGTCAAAAAAGGGTAAACAAGGAGGAGAACATCTCTAACACTTAGAAATGGCCCTGCTGGTTTTAGCCAGCTGCTTCCTCAAAGAAGGTCTTGGAGAGGCAAACAGGTCTTCTTAGTACCAAGCAGGAGCGTGAGAGACCAGGCAGGAGCTGCCTTCAGGGGTGGCAGCAAGTGCCTCACCTCTAGCTGGCAGAGACTGGTGTCGTGTATGGCTCACGCCAGCTGTGCACGGATTAAATTTTAGCTGGATATTACTTTCTCCTCTCTCTAATGAGGAGACTAAATTTGTATGCAAGCAAAAATCTTTGAACTCCGAAAAAATGGGAAACATCCAATGGCCAGCTAAGGAAACGGCTTTTCCCATTAGTGTTCAGTACACCAGCCGGATCGAGCATTGACAACACTGCCAACAAATTAAATAGCTAATCTGTTCCTCCCTGCGTTGTTAACAACTGCTTTGGTATTGTTCTCTTTAGATAACAATATTGTTTAGGCCAGATATACCGAATCCTCTCTCCCTCTGCCTGAGGCAGAGAAATTAGGCTGGAACGGTTTCTCCCTCCTTTTCCCGGTTTTCTCCTTACACAGTGCAGCCAGCTCTGGGGCTCCTCGTGCTGCAGGAGGAAGGCTCATTTTGCACCCAGACAGATGCGTGTGTGCACGTTCAAGGAGTCATCTCCTGCATGCACTCAGAGCAGGTCTGCTGATGCCCGTCTCTCCTGCTCTCCTCTAAGTACTGCAGAGGCAGGGGAGGCACAGCGGGCATCCTGCAAGTGTCTCCGGCCAGGATCGCGGTGGGTGCAGGGCAGATGGGAAGAGCAAGGCACTCCTCCTCAGAGGAGGAGATGTCTCCCAGCTTCCAGCATCCCCTTGCTTGCCCCTTTCCCCACCTTTCCCTCTCATTCTGTAGGTTATTACATGTTCATCGAGGCGTCCCGGCCCCGGGTGACGGGAGACAAAGCCCGGCTCATCAGCCCCCTCTACAACATTACTGCCAAGTATTACTGTGTCTCCTTCTACTACCACATGTATGGGAAGCACATCGGTGAGTACCCTCTGGGGAAGGGTAACCCCGAGCCTAGTGTGGGCTGTCGGGAAAGACCTCCAGCCTCTTGCTCCACCAGCTGAGCCTGCAGCTGGCGATTCAGGAGGGTGGGAGTGCTACTCCAGTGCTCAAAGTGCCAGGGTGGGCTGCTGCTTTCAGATACTTGTCCCTTACTCACACCCTCGCAGTGTCAGGGTGGTGAGGCTGTTGCAACCCATCCTTGGGGCAGTATCTAGCAGGCAGCCATCATCCCTTCCCCTCTGGCTCACTCCTCCTCCAGCATAAGACTCCCTACCCTCCACAAAAAAGAGCATTGTACCCATGTGCACACATTTTCCCCGCTCCTGGCCACAGCCACCTTGCTCCGGGCAGCAGGACACCAGCTGAACAGTCTGTCCATCAGAGAGGAGACAGAAGTGGAGGGGCTTTGTGGGGCCGGAGGGCTCTGTGGTGGCCGCAGCTCTTTTGGGGTGGGCAGGATGCGTGTTCCCTCAGCTGTGCCAAGGGGCTGTCTGCTCTGCCCAATTCCCTCCTCTCTAACTGTAAGCCTATGAGTGCAGTGAGCACCCCAGAAGTGCCTGGCACACTAATGAGTTTCCATATCCAGTCAAGGAGCAATTGCTAATTCGTCACCTCTTGATTATAATTTCATTAATTTGAATAATAGATGTACTCTTCCCACAGCACGCTGGGTTATTAATCACCTGCTGGACTGGAGCCTGACTGAAAAATCAGGGCCCCGGCAGGGATGTGTCCGCCCTTCAATAAACGGGGTTAATTAACAGCTCTCTGCTCGGCACCGTCGATGTCATTGGGAGGGAGCGTGTTCCTGAGTCCGACCACCATGTCTCTGCACGTGCGTGGCATGGCAGAGAGGTTAAGCTGCAAAATCTGAGATCTCCTTCTCTCAGTGGGGGCGAGGCTGAAACCCTGACCCCGTGGGTGCCAGGGGTAAGGGCTGGGCTGTGGTTCACTTGAACTGGTCTCCATCTCTGTCTTTGGTCTGAGGGATCATATTTGCTGTCTGCGGTCAGAGGCCGGCTAGGTCGGTGGTGTCTGCACGCACCGGTATTCCCCCTGCAGACAGGCTGCTCCGTGTTGTCTCCACGCCACCGGCAGCAGGTTACTCAGGCAGAGCACTGTCAGGGTTGGTTTTCCGGGACCTGCTGGTCTTGCTTAGCTGACAGAGTCCAGCTGTTAATGCTGGCTGGCACACTCCCTTGTTCCCTGCAGTTGTCCGCTGTGGTCAGTCAGCCTTGCTGCCTAATTCCTGCACATCTTCTCCTGGAGGCTTTGAAAGGCATCTCATTCTTTGTGATTGCAATGAAGGGTGGCCCAGACTGGTGGGAGACTGGCAAGGAAAGAAGATGTGGAGGGAGGGAGGCTTGCTTGCTTTGTTTCCTTTAGGAATACAGCTATGTCTCATATTTCCAAATTCATTTCACGAGGAAAGTAAAAAGCCCATCAGCTTTTGCTTGCTTTTGGAAGAGAGTTCTGTTTTACAGCTCTCATGTGGAGGTCTGTCTGGAGATGGGGTGGACTGGACATGCCAGGGAATCAATTCACTACAGGTTTTTGGCTTTTAGCATTTTAACTCTTTATTCATTTTCTCCACCCACAAATTGCCCAGAGCAAAAGATACAGTGACTCCCAAGACCTAAGAAAGTCGCTGAGTTTTCCTCAGGTTCAGGCATCTTAAATATCTGTTGGTTTTTCCCTTCATACTCAATGTTGTGGCCCCCGCAATGTTTGCTTCCCCATTTTTCCCCTTGTTGCACAAAGGGGCTGATAGATTCGAGTGAGGTGGATAGGCTCTTTAATACCATATGATGATTTCCAAGGTGGGTGCTGCTGAGCTGAGAGTGAATAAATTATTTTAAAATTAGACTGACTAGATAAGAGTCAGAGAATGAAAGAGAAAGAAATGAGAAAAAGTTCTTTTTCTCTTGGCCTGTGGAATACGTGGCTTGGTCTAGCGAACACACAATATATCTGTCTGCAAACTGAAATTCAGTACCTTGTATCTGCTCTCTGCTCTGGAGTTTCTTTCAGGGCCAGTCATGATATTCTGAAGTAGTTTTGGCTTCTCTTCTACATACCAGGGCACCAGGGAAAAATCAGAATGCCTAGTAATCTTAAAATGATCTGGTTTTCATCATTCCCACTATGCTACTTACTATCTCTTACCCTACTCGGACTTTTTCCTTACCGTCACGCTGGCAGCACTCTGGCATAGCTGTCCTCATCCCCGCACGCGCGCGAACGAACCCGTGTTTGGGACACGCTCTGTTTCACCAGCAGGTCTCACGGTGCTATCTACATTTCTAATGCGCGTTGGTTACTCCCTGGCTGGTTTTGCTTGTGCAGAGGTTGTGAAACCCTTCCAGAAAGCTTATGCCCTTGACGACTGAAGTCCTCTCAGAGTCCCCTGGGGAAGAGGCAGCCTGCCTGAGGGCAAAGCAAGTTTCTTCAGTTTTTCTTCTTTAGCCCTAGATTGTAGGAAAGTTTCCCCTCTTAGATACAGGACTCCTCGTTAGGACTTCTCCCGTCAAATGAGACAGACCCTAGGCCTCCTACCTGTATCACGTATGCAGCAATATGAAGGTAAAGATGGGGTGGCTACAACCCTGGGCCATGTCTTGCTTACCATATAGCCAGTTATCCTTGATGCCTTGCAGACATGACCACCACCCCTGGCTCACCTAGTGCCAGCCCAGTCCTACCGAGCCAGATACCAGCCCTGCTGAGCCAGCTGCAGCACTTAGCAAGAGCGTATCAAGTTGGTTCGGTTAGCAGACAAGTGCCCGCAAGAGGACATCTCCCAGCCCAAGCCTCTCCTAGCAGCTTCAGCTCCAAACCCAAAACTCTGTCACTATGAAAAGGAGCCGTATAAAATCCCGACATTTATTTATTTTTTTAATAACCCTTTTATTACCTTTTTCCCCCTCTACAGAACTTGAAAGCTGGTTTACTCTCACAATTTGACTATAAAATATCCATAGCCATCCAGGCAAATCTTCCCTGGGAGAGTTCCCAGACACTACTCGTTTATAATAGATATGACGAAAGAGAGAAACAGAATACAAATGGAGCGTTTATAGCCGTGGCATAAAATATTCAGCGACTAGCAGAGCAGGGTGATGTTGAATATCTCTCAGCTGATGAGAGAGCAGGGTGAAGGGGAGCTCCCTGGAGGCAATTCCCGTTCTTCTGAAGTTATTTGGTCATTGGGTTTCCTTCCTCCAGCCCCCTCCAGTGCGAGTATTCTCATTGCCCTACAATCCTGCCAGCCCAAACACAAAAATCAGGCGGAAGGGAAGGAAAGAAATCCCGTTTCCACCAGACATTCAAGAGCAAGGGTGTCTTGCTTGCGGCAGGCACATATATATCAAACAAAGAATTGCTTGCTTTCTTCAGGAGAGGAAGCTAGCCATGGCAGGCAGCAACCAGTCTCCAAGTTCAAAAGGTCCCTTTGTCATGTTGGCTTGGTGAGTCAGCATTGCAGCTGGGAGCAGATCCTCAAGTCCTTGCTTCAGCCATCAGACGCCTCTTCATCCCTTCCCAGGGGCTGCCTGGGAGGGGGATGCTTTGAGGGGACAGTGTCCCCACAGACTGCTCCCACCACAGTCCCCTGCCAACTCTCTCTCACGTCTCCTAGCTCAGTGGTAGCCAGGTTATGATCTGCATGGCCTCCTGCCCACTGCTGGATGCTCTCACAGACTCTGCAGCAAGAGATGCCTTCAGGGTCAGACCCCAGGAGGATGGTTGTTCAGAGGGGCGAGGAAATTTCAGAGGATTTAACTTTTTGTGTTGCCATTGTGGTCCCCATGGTGCACAGTGATTGCTAATGCCATAGCTCCCTATCTCATGAGCCAGTGACCATGCTCATAGAGAAAACATTTGTGTCAAAGAGTTTATTTGCCCACAGGGGTATGTACATGCAAGCAGTGATGTAGGATATACCCAAACAGCATTTTTTTAGGCTACTTCTGATTTGTAAGCTTAGTGGTAGACCCTTTTCAAATTATTTTTGCTGTATTTTTAATAGAAGTGGTCACTGCACACAGGCTTACGACAGGATACAGCCTCAGAGAGGGGAGAAGGCAAAGACCCCACCTCACTGTGGGGTACCTCCCAAGATGGGACTGTTCAGCTGCATCCTGTAGTGAAACTGTCAGGTCCTGGGCTTCAAGAGCTGGACCTGGTTTAATGCAATGTCTGAAGACCCTGCTCTGGGCTTGCAATTTTTTGCACTTCGAGCCTCCTTTCTACACTAGCAGTGTCACAGTCTTGCCTTTGCCAGTTCCTCTCCCAGAAATCAGGGAACAGGCTTATTTTCTGGCATGTGTCCACCATCTATGAACCTCATGGAGAGTTAAAGTTGCTGTTGTTCCAGCTTAGTGCTGACACAGACCTTATCTGATCACCCCAGCTAGGTCTGGCCTATGTATAATCAGGATGGGAAGCTTCCAAGGAAATTGTTAACTACTCATTGCTCTCTACAACCTCCTGAGGAGGGGAAGTGGAGAGGGAGGTGCTGATGTCTTCTCCCTGGTATCCAGTGACAGGACATGTGGGAATGGTTCAAAGCTGCGTCAGGGGAGGATCAGATTAGATATTAGGAAACATTTCTTTACTGAGAGGGTGGTCAGACACTAGAACAGGCTTCCTAGAGAGGTGATCGAAGTGTTCAGGCAGTTGGACTAGATTATGCTGTAGGTTCCTTCCAACTGAACTATTCCCTCCCTTCCCTTCCCTTCCCTCTCTTTTCTTCTTTTTCCTGTTCTGTTCTATTCTATTCTAAGATATTCTAAGATATTGTGAGGAACAGTGCTTGGTATGGATTAAAAGGGATTTGGGTTCTGAGTCACTAGAAACAACGAGACCTGATCAGATCACTTGCCACAACATCCAAGTTCAAGAAAGCCATAAGCTGTTTCACAGAGGTCATTGGGTTGTAGGCAGACTGCTTACACTGATGCTGTCACCACTGACACCCTCCAGCTGAGTAGGAAACACAGATCTGGAAGGTCTGACAAACTGAACTGCTTCTTTACTCCTTCAACTCAGATAACGCAACCAGTGCAAAGGTGTATCTGAGAGGTCGTGGTGGATGATGACACACAGGAGCCAGTGTTAGCACAGATGCAATGTGTCGACATCTTGTTTCTGACAAGTGACAGTAGTGAGAGCTGTCAGGTTGCGCAGATGCATAGGTACCAGCTATATCAATGTAAAAGCAATTTGAACCACGAAGATGTCCTTTTTGTAAGATTCAACATTGTAGCTCCCTCGTTCCTACCCAAACCTCGTTTATGAACACAGCACCCTGCTACTGCACACAGTTATACAGGTGGCACCCCGGAGGTAGCTGCATTCTGTTGCATATCTAAAGTTTGCCTTATGTGCAAATGCATCGTTCATGAAATCCATGCCATTATCTCCAGTGCAATAACTCTACATGGTAGAGATTACATCACTGGATTGATCGAGGGAAGACTAATTTTCCTAATAAGTATGATTCACTTCCTTCTAGGCTCTTGAAAACAAGTTACAGTTGGAGTTAAGTGAACAGTTTGTAATGAAAAAATGTATTCAGTTTTTTTAATGCTCTTTCTTTGTCCATTTATTCAGATGGGTTCTTGGCTTTACTCATTCCTCTGTCAATAGCTGTGTATTTGGCTAATGTTTTGTGCAGACATCCAGCAGCTTCCTGTGGGCTATGGTATGGATAGACTGTGGTCTCTTCTGGTAGTATCTGCTTGTTTTTTTGGGTAGTCAAATACCATGACCATGAGCAAGGATTATAAATACCTGGCAAGATAACCACATATTTGTAAAGTGTCATTCAAGCTCTGTAGGTTCAATACAAGCTCTGTAGGCTCTGAACCAAAGACCATTGAAGTCATTGTTTTTCTAAAGACTTCAGTGAACGTTGGATTAGAGCCATAGATTTAAAGATTATTAAGACCAGATGGGACCAATACATCATCGAATCAAACTTCCTGCATGATCAAGGGCAGAGAACTCTCTTCAGTTACTCTTGCTGGAGCCCAGTAAATACTATGTGCCTACACCTTCACTGGATGTTTACTTACAAAGAGCACCAACAGCATGCTTGATGCAGCCTGCAGATGTGGAACTGAAGCATCGCTAAGCCAAAGAGCTTAGCATGTAAAGCTGAAGAAGACATGGAGAGGAGGGAAAAGTATTCAAATGTGGATTGGCTATATATCATTTTTATTCCACGAATAACGTGTCTTCATGTCAATGCAGGTATTCTGCTTAGCACCTTGAATCTGGGTGCACTGATCCCTGTCTTTCCTTGCACCTCACTAAAAGTGCATTACTGAATCAAGTTCCCAGTGCAGATAGCCACTGAAACGTTGCCTTCTTCAGAAGTCCTCTTCTTCTGTTT